AGCAAAGGCCTTCAGAGTGACGTGAGACAGCAAAGGCCTTCAGAGTTAAACGTAAGAGCAAAGGCCTTCAGAGTGACATGAGACAGCAAAGGCCTTCAGAGTGATGTGAGACAGCAAAGGCCTTCAGAGTTAAACGTACGAGCAAAGGCCTTCAGAATAAACTATAAGACAGCAAAGGCCTTCAGAGTAAAACGTAAGACCGCAAAGGTCTTCAGAATAAAATGTAAGACAGCAAAGTCCTTCAGAGTGACGTAACACAGCAAAGGCCTTCAGAGTAAAACGTAAGAGCAAAGGCCTTCTGTACCCTGTGCTTGCAAATCTTATCACCTGACTTCATAATAAGTAAATGCCACATGGTTAACCTTATGAAAAGTATTTCTGGTAATGAAAAGCAACTTTGAATTTTTTATAGATTGGGATTCCATGTAAGATTTCAGTAGAAACGTGTTTTGGATTTACTTTCTTTTAAAGTGTGAAAGACACTGGTAATAGTTGATGAGCTTCCACTGGTGGATTTAAGCGGGAGTGTAGCAGGGGGTGGAGGTATGTTATATCATGCCACTGCCTCAAGTGATATAATTTACATTTTTAATGTAAAGAGAGCACTGGGGATGCCAGGGAGAGGATGAAAGGCAGGCAATGTACGAGAGGATCTTTGTAGCTGTCAAGGGAAGAGAAATCTCCCATCTGTCTTAGTACTTTGTCTCCATGCCCTGGACCCTAGCCTTGACCAGGCTGCCATCATCTCATGGAAACTGAATAGCCTCTCAACTGGCCTCTGCACTTCATGTCACTGAGACATGTCCCTTTCCCTCCGACAGCCTTTCTGTGGCTTCCCATGACTTAGGATTGGTCTAAATGCTTGCTCTAATCTTGTAGGTCTGAGGTGGCCTGCTGAGCATGCCACCCACAGTCCTCCCACAGTGCTCTCCCACTCCCTCCCCTTCTTCTGCCCCCATTTTTCTTTCTGACTCCAGGCAAGTCTAGGCCACTCTCCACCCCAGGGCCTTTTTACAAGCCAGTTCCTTCACCTGGAGCCTCTTTCACGTGTATTCTGTCTGGCTGACAACCCCTCATTCTACAGGCCTTTAATTCAATGTCACTTTCCCAAACAGCCTTTCCTTCATCACCCAACTATCCAGGGTCAGGTTCTTCAGTTTTCTTTTTCATAATAGGCTATGCTTTTCCTCTGTAGCTCTAGGCATCACCTGTAATCATCTAATTGTTTTTTTGTGAGCACAAGAATCTTGTCTGCCCTGTTCACCACTGCGTCCAGGACACATTAATGAGTAGATGTAAATGCAGAATTATCATATGACCCAGCAATTCCACTCCTAGGTATATACCCCAAAAGATTTTAAAACAAATATTCCAACAAAACTTGTTTATAAATGCTCATAGCACCATTACTCACAACAATCAAAAGGTAGAAACGACCCAGTGCACTTTACCTGATGATGGAGAAACAGAATGTGGTGTATCCATGCAGTGGAGTACTCAGCGGAAATGAATACAGTACTGATACAGGGTAGAACATGATGAACCTTGGGAATACTATGCTAAACAGAGGGCCATGTAGCGTGTGATTCCACAGGTATGAAGTGTCCAGAACAGGTAAGTTCTCAGAGACAGAGAGCAGACTAGTGGTTTCCAGGAGCTGGGGGAGTGGCAATGTCATTGGTACCGAGTTTACTTTGAAGATGATAGAAGGATTCTGCAAAAAGGTGATGTTTGCACAACATTGTGAGTGCATCAAATGTCACTAATGGTTCATTTTATGTTGTGTGTGTTTGGCCACAAGTCCTGAGACTTGTGGAAAAATGATAGAGTGAGTTCATAAAGAAGCTCCTCCTGCCCGAGATGTCCCTGTCATTTACACTGTGTTTTCCGGCCCATGTCAGGCAGTGGCTTGCATTTAAGGGTGACAAACTTGGGACTTCTCATGCATTTCTGGGTTTCTATGATTGTAGCTTCCAAATCCACCAGTGTTCCTTACCTCAAATGCCAGGCAGTTGGGATGAACCTCCCCCACCCCACCTCAGTGGTGGGAAAAGCCCACTTCCCTACCATCACATACCTGATGTCCAGTTCCAAGTTACAATAGTGGCAGTAACACTTGGGAGGAAAAAGTGAACCGGAAACAGAGAAGGAAACAGTTGGGGTGAGGCGAGTGAATTCCTTCCCTCCCTCCCTTTCTCCCCATCCCCCCTCCCTTCTTTCCTGCCCTCACCCTCTGCTCTTTCCCTCCGGTTGTGACATCCCTGACATCCCGTGGGCTCTATTCAGCCCGCCTCTCACCACTCCCACCTTCTTCCCCATCTTCCAGCCAGTTCTCCTCCTCCCCAGAAGGAGCACAGTCTCCTAAGTTGGGGTTTCTCAGCCTCGGATTCCCGCCATGCTGACCTGGGTTCTCTTTGTCATGGTGAGCTGTCCTGGGCCAGGTAGGATGTTGAGTGGCATCCCTGGCCTCCACCCTCTAGATGGAGCTAGTGCTCCCTCTTCCAGTTGTCACAACCAATCACATGGTCCAGACACTGCTGAGTGTGCCCTGGGTGGCAACATCACCCCAGTTTGAGAACCACTAGCCTGTCACTGTCTCAGGCTCACCTCCCTGGCTGCTCCGTTTTCCTCACTCCTCACGCTCAGTGCATAAGCAGTGCTTGTAGAACTGCTGTGCGGCTCTCATCTCCACCGGCACCACCGTATCTCCTGCCCTGGCAGATGGCTCCTCCTCTCCATCTCTCCGCTTCCACTCTCACCTGATTCTGATTCAACTCTCCACAGGCAGCACCGAGAGGGACCCTTTCATAACTCAGAAGGGATCTCACTGGTGGCTGTCCACAGGTTAGAACACACGCTTCCTTCTCGTGTGGTCTGTGAGAACCTTGCATGACCGGGCCCCCCCTGCCCCTCTCAGGTCACATAGATTTTCCTTTGGTTCCTCTAAGGCACTTAGCGTGTTCTTTTCCTGGGGTCAGCTGTGTGGCCTGCTCTGCTCATGGTGGTTGCCCCCAAGCTACTCTGAAGGCAGGGTCCTTCCAGTCTGTCATCTCTATGTCCCGACGCCACCTGCCCGGGGAAGCAGCCCATGGCCCTGCTCACTCTGTGATGGATCTCACCCTGATTTACTTCATGTTTCCTGGAGCTGGCTGCTTGTTTCTCTGCAGTCCTCCTGCTCTCAGTCACTGTCAATCATGCGAGCTCCGGGGACTCTAGGACCTTATGGGCTCTGTCTTCCTCTGAGTCCCCAGCATCTAGGGTGGGTCCTCTGCCCACATGAATATCTGAAGACTGAATGAATGAATGATGCCTTGTTGCTTCTTTCTTTCCTTCCTTCTTTTTCTCTTTCTTTCCTTCCTTTTTCCTTTCCTTTCCTTTCCTTTCCTTTCCTTTGCTTTCCTTTCCTTTCCTTTCCTTTCCTTTCCTTTCCTTTCTCCTTTCCTTTCCCTTTCCCTTTCTCCCTTTCTTTTCTTTCCTTAAATTTTTTGAGGCAGGGTCTCACTAGGCTGAAGTGCAGTGGTGTGATCTTGGCTCACTCCACCCTCCACCACCCAGGTTCAAACGATTCTTCTGCCTCAGCCTCTTGAGTAGCTGCAATTACAGGCGCCTGCCACTACACCTGGCTACTTTTTGTATTTTAGTAGAGACGGGGTTTCACCCTGCTGGCCAGGCTGGTCTCGAACTCCTGGCCTCAAGTGATCTGCCTGCCTTGGCCTCCCAGAGTGCTGGGATTACAGGCGAGTGCCACCACGCCGGCCCGGCTCATGGTTTCTTGCACCCTGCCTTATTTTCACGTCTCTGAGTCCTGCACATGGTGTTTAATCCTCTGGAAGGCTTCCCTGGCTTCTTCTCTTCAATTGGCTGATTCTGTCCTCTCCTTAACCCACAGCAGAGGGGTCACCTCCTGTAGAAAGCCTTCCATGACCCCATGCTTCCCCTAGGCTGCAGTAAGCCCCACTGCCTCCTGCGCTGGCACGTGCTCACGAAGTGGTACCACTCAGTGATCTGGTTCTCTCTGTGGATGCCTGCCTCCCTTGCAATATTAGGACCTGCTCGAAGGTAGCTCAACCATCAGAGTCCCTAGCAACCAGTAAAAGGCTTGGTCCTTATGAACATCTCTTAGAAAGGGCAAGAGATAGTGACAGAGAGAGGCAGAATGAGTGTATGTATTTCAGAGGAACCCCTGGGGCTGTGTTAGTGCAGAAAGGAGTAGCTTTTATCCTAGTCTAGAGGTGGAAGGGAGGGAAGGAGAGAGAAGGAGGGAGAGAGGAGGGAAGGAAGTAGGGAAGAAGAGGGGGAGGAAGAAAAGGAAGGGAGGGGGAGGGAGAGAGGAAAGAAAGAAGGGCAGGAGGGAAGAAGGATGGGGAAGGAAGAAGGGAGAGGGGAAGCAGAGGGAGGAAGAAAGAAAGGGAGGAAGGCGTGAAGGGAGAAGGAGGAAAGAACAGAGGGGGGAAGGAGAGGGAGGGAGGAATAGGAAGAGAGGAAGGAAGGAAGAAGGGAGGGAGGTAGGAAGAAAGAAGGGAAGAAGGAAGGAAAGAGGAAGGAAGAATGGAATGAGAGTGGAGGGAGGGAGGGAGGAGAGGGTGTTTCACAGAAGGGCTCTCCCACCGTTTCCTGCATGGCACCTCTGAGGCTCCCTCCGTCCCCTCCTCTGTGCCCCCAGTTCCCTCCTCTTTCCTCTTCCTCTCTCCTTCCTCTCTTCACCCTCCTCCCCTCCGTGCCGGCCTCTTCTTACCCAGTCCCCTTTGTTGTAGGTCACGAAGAGGTAGGTTATCACCATGTAGGCGCATTTCAGGAAGTTCCATGTGTTCCTCCTCTTGGGGGGTGGTTTCCTGGATGGGGTGGTGGCTGAGAGAGGCTTAACTGAAGAGAACCGTGGAGATGAGTTATGCTGATGGCCTTCCCTCCCTGCCCTAGAGCTTCCTGCCACTGCTGTATCTCCATTCTGATCTCTAAACTCACACCTCTGCCTGCCTCCTGAGTTGGAATTTTGGTCCACACCCGCCACCATTGCCAGCTTCCCCCTTCTTGGTTACCTCCATACCCCAGACAAACAGTCAGGGATGCCTTTTGGCTGTCTCACACCTCACATCCAAGACATCACCAAGTCTGACCCTGCCTTGCCCAGATTTCTCACCAAACTGTCAGAGGGGTTTGAACCAGAGTGGCTCCATCTTGAATCGGGGCTGGGTGAAATGAGGCTGAACCCTACTGGGCTGCATTCCCAGGAGGTTAAGATCGTCTTAGTCACAGGATGAGAATAGGAGGTCGGCACAAGACGCAGGTCACAAAGACCCTGCTGATAGAACAGGTTGCAGTAAAGAAGCTGCCACAACCACCAAAACCAAGACCGGGATTAAAGTGACCTCTGGCCGTCCTCACTGCTCATCGTATACTAGTTATAATGCATTGGCATGCTAAAAGAGACGCCCACCAGTGCCCTGACAGTTTACAAAGCCATGGCAACATCAGGAAGTTACCCAACTTGGCCCAAAAAGAGGAGGAACCCTCAGTTCCAGGAAATCTCCACTCCTTTCCTGGAAAACTCATGAATTATCCACCCCTTGTTTATCATATAATCAGGAAATAACTGTAACTATACTCAATACAGCAGCCTTTGCTGTCGGCCTATGGAGTAGCCATTCTTTTACTCTTTACTTTCTTAATGAACTTGCTTTCACTTTATGGATTTGCCTCAAATTCTTTCCTGCATGAGGTTCAAGAACCCTCCCTGGGGTCTTGATTGGGACCCCTTTCCGGTAACAAAACCATCACCTCTCCCCCATCCCCAGTCTCAGGCTCTGCTCTTGCTGGCTGCCTCTGCCTCCTCTGCCATACTTTCTCTTTCTCATGAGCGTTAGTAGGGTCACTCTAGCACCAGATCAGACCACGTCGCTTTCTTATTTCAGACCTCATGTGCTGCACGAGTGTTTCTTTCTGTGTAACATTTCCCCCATCTTTTTATTTTGAAAGTATTACATGCAGAAAATCTGTTTTTTACAGGTAGACCTGTCTGTCTAAAGAGATTTTAAATAAAAAATAAAACATTATCAGTGTAAAGGCAAATGCAAATCAAAAAAGAAAAAAAGTTAATTCTCCCTGTTGACAATTCAGGAAGCGATTCCTCCCTGTCCCCTTTGCTTAGAGTGTTTACTTTAGAAAACTTGCCACTGCAAGTCTCTATCTCTGAAAAGTGTACACACATCTTTTTCAAAGCTAAGTAAGCCTGCTGCCAGCACTATGACCCAGACAGGTGTTTTCAATGACCTTGAAACCATCCCTTGGAAATGTAAACATTAAGGAAGGTAGTACCCATTTCTCCCCAGCTTCTTGTTGGGAAAGGATAGAGCCTAACTTTGGTGGGCACCCCACTGCTAGTAGCAAATTTATCTCCTGTGAGAAACATATTTGAAGTTTATTTTTGGGCCAGGTGCAGTGGCTCATGCCTGTAATCCCAGCACTTTGGGAGTCCAAGGCAGGCAGATCACAAGGTCAAGAGATTGAGACCAGCCTGGCCAACATGGTGAAACCCCATCTCTACTAAAAATACAAAAAATCAGAGGCCGGGCGTGGTGGCTCAAGCCTGTAATCCCAGCACTTTGGGAGGCCAAGGC